GTATGTTTCTTTTTCTCTGATTTATATCCCTGTATATCAGCCTTTATTAAGAGTAAGTTTTGGATATACTGCATTATTTGTTTTGACATAAATTTTAAGATCAACTTGTTAAGGTCCATGAGAAACCTTGAAGGGGTTTTATTAGAATTCCATTGAATTTTACAGATTATCTGGGGGCCACAATTGATGTCTTTATGATTCATAGTCTTCCCAATTGAAAGCAGGTCTGTTTGTATTTTTTAATTTGTTCTAATTAGTTATACATGACAGCAGAATGCATTTTGATTCATTGTACACAAATGAAGCACAACTTTTCATTTCTCTGGTTGTACACAATGTGGAGTAGCACCATATGTGTAGTCATACATATACCTAGGGTAATGATGTCCATCTCATTTCACCATCTTGGTCTGTCTATATTTTAATCAGTGTTAATTTTTGTCCTTCAATAGTGGTTGGTAATTTTTTTCTCAAATGTATCATATGTGTGTTGCTTATTTTCAGTGAAGAATCAAAGACATGTTTCACTAGTGAACCAAAAACAGAAAATAACCCAACTTATTTTACAAGGCTAGTATAACCCTGATTCCAGTTGAAATATGGGTTCTTTCTGTAAAGGGCTAGAGAGCAGTCTAACTCTAAGTCATAGAATATTCTTAAGAATGTAAATGTGTTAAGAATGTAGATGTAGCAGTCTTAMAACTTTAGCTAGCTGAATACAATAATGTATATTTTTAGATTATTCCTAGTTTGTCCAATGAATATAAAGGTCTGTGTTGAAAGTATCATGCCACTCTTGAATTAAAAAAAGAAAGCCCACATGATTATTTCAGTTAACATATGTTTAAATTATGGCATAAGGACTGCAAATTTGAGATCAGCCTCGGCAACTTAGCAAGGCCCTTAGTAACTTGATAAGACCCTGTCTCAAAATGAAAAATAAAAAGGGCTGGGGGGCTGGGGTTGTGGCTCACCTAGCGCTCGCCTAGCATGCATGAGGCCCTGGGTTCGATCCTCAGCACCACATTAAAAATAAAATAAATATATGGTTATCCACCTAAAAACTAAAAAATAAATATTTAAAAAAAAAGGGCTGGCGAAGTGGCTTGGTGGTTAAGTGTCCCACCCCCTGTTCAATCCCCAGTAACCTCCCCCAAAAGATTTCCTACGAGCATTTGTGAATTTCAGAGTCTAATATGTTGTTGAAATACGGATTCTTTCTGTAAAGGGCTAGAGAGCAAATATTATAAACTGTGGGTCAAGAGGCAAAACTAAGATTATTGTGTAGGTACTTATAAAATAAGAAAGCAAATTTCCATAAATCTTTATTAATATGATTTAAAATATAAAAATTGAGTATACTGAGTATAGTTTTTTCTAAGTAAGGTCTGTGACTATGAAGAACAGAATTCTTTTAAGAGGAATAACATTGTTTCCTATCATCCAAATCAATTGAAATGTTCATTTGTTAATGCTGATCTACAATGAGATTTTCCATATTTCACCTTTACAAATGTCTTTCCTTGTGCATAGTTTCTGCAAAATACTGATAATCAATCTATGAGCATATGGTTTTAATTGAACATAGTCACAGATTGGAAGGCATTTTTAGAATTATATTAGCTAAAAGGCTAGAATGCCTTTTAGCATGTCATTACATTGCAAATCACTTCCAATTAAAGTTCCTCAATTGCACAGTTAAATGGATTTTGGAATATGGAAATTTACTTTGCACATGCATAGAGGTCTGAAAAACACTGCTGTAGTTCAAAATTAGAAAATATATTGCTGGGAATGGAGACATCATTTTTTTCTTTTTAAACTTTTGACAGTGAAGGCCTGACATTATTTGCAGTTCAAACATTAGTTGTCATTGAAATGACTTTATCACAGTATGTTTTACATGTAAGACTCACATATAAGCACTGTTTTGCCTTGTAACTTTTGCTTGAAACATTTTCAAGTCTGTAGCAAAAGCTGAATTCTAAGGCCATTCAAAGTTCAATACCAGTGGGTAATGTAGTTCTTCAAATATTTTCAAAATGTAAAAATCATTCTTGAGGGCTCTACATACACAAGGTAGATTTTTAGTCCATTGGTCATAGTTGCCTCCCTCTGCTCTATAAAATCTTGACCAYTTATATTACCAGTAAATGAGTCTGTTTTCCCAAAATTGTGTAATCAATGAGTATTTAAAAATTTATCTAACTTTAATATTAACTACTCTGATGATATGATCATTCTATACTTGTATATATGTACTGTATTATGATATAGTACATAATAAATCTTTAAAACTAAAAACCCCAAAATTATTTTTTAATTTATATATATTTGAAAAATAAGGTAATGTATCTTTTTAAAAGAGCTTTGTGATTATACATAGTAGTTGGTTTCATCCTGACAAACTTGTACATGCATGGTCATCTATTTGGGTTCATGATTCCCCCTTTTCCCTTTTGTCCTTCCTCCCCTCTCCCCTCTCCCCTCTCCTACCTCTGCACTATTAGGTATTCTTTCACTCCTTCATTAGTATGTATTTGATTGACTATGTAATCTTATCTTCCCCTTCCCCTTTTTACTCTAGCTTCCACATATGAGAGAAAACATTCAACCTTTGAGTTTGAGTTTGGTTAATTTCACTTAGCATAGATATTCTTCAATTCAATTCATTTACTGGCAAATGCCATAATTTCATTCTTTTTAATGTTAAATAGAACACTATTGACTGGCATCTGGGTTGTTTCCATAATTTAGCTATTGTGAATTGTGCTGTTAYAAACATTGATGTGGCTATATTGCTGTAGTAAGCCAAATGCAGATCTTTGGGGAAAATACCCAGGAGTAGGATAGTTAGGTCATGTGGTTCCATCTCTAGTTTTTTGGAAATCATCATACTACTTTCCAGAATGGTTTTACTAATCTGCAGTCCCACCAACAATATACAAATKTTTCTTTTCCCCTGCAACTCTGCACAAAAATCAAATCAAAATGGATCAAAGACTTAACAATTAGACCAGAAACTTTACAACTGCTATAAGAAAACTTGGTAAAAACTCCATCATACAGGTACTGGAACCAACTTTCTTAACAAGACCCCTAAAGCTCAAGAAATAAAACCAAGAATCAATAAGTGGGATGTCATTAAACTAAAAAGCTTCTGAACAGCAAAGGACATGATTAAGAACATGAAGAGAGAGCTTACAGAATGGGAGACAATCTTGGACAGCTACCTTTCTGATAGATAGGATTAATATCCACAATGGGCAAAGAACTCAAAAAAACTTTAAGCCAAAAAAAACAAAAGAACAAACACAAAAGGCCAATGAATATATGAAAAAAATATTCAACATCTCTAGCAAATCAAAACTACACTAAAATTTCATCTCCAATCAGAATGGCAATGATCAAGAATACGAACAACAATAAATGCTGGTGAGGTTGTGGGGACAAAGGAACACTTTTATATTGTTGGTAGGACTGTGGACTAGAACAACCATTCTGAAAAGCAGTATGGAGATTCCTTTAAAAAATAGGGATGGAACCACCATATGATCTACTATCCCACTCCTGGGATCTAAATGGGCACAGCCATGTCAATGATTATAGCAGTACAATTCACAGTAGATAAATTATAAAATTAACACAGATGCCAATCAGTAGATGAATGGATTAAGAAATTGTTGCACACACATAATTTGACTTCTACTCAGCCATTAAAAAGAATACAACAGACACTAGTATGGCAGTATGTATAAACGTGGCTATATAACCAATGTGATCCTGCAATCTGTACACGTGGGAAAAATAAGAATTCATACCCCATTTGAATCAAATGTATGATATATGTCAAGATCATTGTAATGTTTTGAGCAACCAATAAAAAAAATGAAATTATAGGACTAAGAGCTGGGGTTGTGGTTCAGTGGTGGAACACTTGTCTAGCATGTGTGAGGCTCTGAATCTTGTAAAGTTGCACCTCAATAAATTGCTAAGGCTCACATTGAACTTGGGATCTACCTCCTCAGTCGTCTTAGTTGCTGGGATTATAGGTGTGTGCCATAGGATCTGGCTTCTCCTAATATAGTTCTTATTTATCCTTCAAGACTTAGATCAAGGACCAGTTCCTCCTCTGGCTACAATCTGTGCATATATGTGCTTTAACATCAATTTCACTTTTATGTAATTAACTTTTTATTTATAGCAATCTGTGTGTCCACTGGACTGGTAAATGATGTGTATATTTCCAAACAGTGCCCAGCACTTAGTAGGTACTAATAATTTGTTGACTGGTGAGTTAAAAATAATAGTAGTAGTATTAATAATAATAACAAATATGTGCCAGATATATTAAAAAATGTGTATAATATTCCTAATGTAGTTGTTGCCATAATATAATATAATATACAATTAAATTGTGAAGAAGCACCCTCAGAACTGGGCATGGTAGAGCACGCCTGTAGTCCTAGCTACTCAGGAGGCTGAGGCAGGAGAATTACTTAGCCTAAGATTTTATCAGCCTGGGCAACATAGCAAGACCCTGTCTCTTTTTTTAATATTTGTTTTAGTTAGAGGTGGACACAATATCTTTATTTTGCTTTATGTGATGCTGAGGATCGAACCCAGTGCCCCACACATTGCTAGGCAAGCACTCTTACCTCCGAGCCACAACCCCAGCCCAAGATCCTGTCTTAAAAAAGAAAAAATAGCATGGTGTAAAAGATCTCCCTCATATAGTAAATCCTAACCAAATATTTGTGTTTTTATTCCCTAATAAAACTGAGTGTGTCACTTTATTAAAACATGTATTTTCCCCTTAAATGATGAAATGATTAAATAATAGCCTTTAGTTGTGACTTTGATCTCTAAGAAAAATTTGTTTGCCCTGGAATATTCATTGGTCATATGTATTTTATAATTTGAACAGGACGCTTCCTCTTTTCAAAATCTCCTTTGTAACTTAACCAAGATTAATCTTTTATTTCACTTTATTTCCAAAGGATATCCATTACCTTGCCCTAGATAAGGGTGAATTGGCACTAGCTGAAGTGGCAAGAAAAAAAGCTAATGATATTGATGCAGAATCAATAACCTCTGGAGTTGGTAAGAATTAATACTTTTTTTTTAAAAAGTTCCTTTTGTTTTAATTCTTACTCAGAATCATTTCTAGTTGTAAGGCATAGTTGGTTAATTTGAATTGCTTYCTTTGTAAAGACAGTTAACTTTTTAAAGTTAAAATTTTAAAAAAAGTTAAAATTTTTAAGCCTTGACAAATGGTATAATATCAATAAGTTGGAATTATACATGAAAATTGATAATTTGTGATTATATAATCACTATTTAGCAAAAAGTAAAAAGGCATTGTTCTTTGCACAAGATTTTGGGGTGAGTTTATTATTATCATCAGTGCCATTATGGACCAACACAGAAACTTAACCATTTATACATAGGTAATATGTTCAAAGATTTCTCTCCTATGTAAGACAAAGCATTTCACATAGGATCAGGTTTGACAGGTGATTTGTTTTCTGTTCAGAAGCTGCTAGTGTCATTTTGCAGTGTAGTTTTCTAAGACAGATCAGAAGCCCAGATTGAATCTAAAGGCCTACTTAAACTTTACAATATACAAAAATAAAAGATTTAAAAATATATCAGCATGAATTTCCTTTTTCTAAAYTTAGTTTATCTAATGTCACTAAATCTGGCAGTAGTAATACTTGGACATCACAATGTCCTGTTCTTCCTAGTATTTCTTATTCCTAAATTACACAAAGGACCCTCAGGATTATAAGTAAAATTGCTTCATTTCTCTATGTAAGTCCTATGAAACAAATATTTTAATAAGATTCCCACTTTGTAAGTGCTTGAAAATATAATGAGTCACTACCCTGAGCAGTCTTCTTATACTTTGGGTGATGTTTGCTGCCAAATGGGCCAACTCTTAGCTTCTCTCCAATGTGACCACTGATTCCACTGTTCAACATGGTAGTGGAGGGAACTCAAAGCCATACCACTAGCATAGCTGCAGACCTGAACACTAGGACTGGTAATTACTTACCAGTAAGAGAATCATATTCTCCTTCCACACCTAAGAGTGTTGGAGATTGAGCGCAAAAGATGCCAAGTCCACTTTCAGAGCTCCATTTCTATGGAGCTAATATTCTTAATTGTATTCAGCGTGAGTATTCCTTATAATACTAAAAAGTTATTCTTACCTAATAGTAACTCTAGTTGGTCTATTGCTATATCTTTTTACTTACAAAGTCTGTGATGTGCCTCCTACTAATAATATTAATATACTGGAGGTGGTGGCACATGCCTATAATCCCAGTGGCTCAGGGAGCTGAGGAGGAGGATCACAAGTTCAAAGTCAGCATCAGCATCTTAGCAAGATCCTAAGCAACTTAATGAGACCCTGTCTCAAAATAGCATCTCAGTGGTTAGGTGCCCCTGTGTTCAATCCCCCAGTACCAAAATAATAATAATAAAATATTGATAATAAGCTAATATTTATTGAATGCTCCCTAAGGACAGATACTATTTTCAGTTACAGATAGAAGCACATCCTCACCACAATTCTGTGAGGTACATACAATTTATTTTTTTTATGAGAAGTCACTTGCAACTAAATGCTGAAACCACACCATAGTAATAGGGATTGTGATGTTATGGGGATACAAATATCCTCCATCCCCTTTCTTAGCCATTTAGGAAGACACAGCAAGATGTTAATTCATAATCATTCCTGTCAATTTTCCTTAATTTTCCTGTGTCCTGAATTTTCCACTAAGGGATTAGATATAATTAATCTTTCAAAGCTATTTACAGGGTAAAAGGGAAGGGGAGARATTACCATGAAATTTCAGTAAACTGAAGAAATGCTTCTATTCTTCAGAATGCATCTTGTGCCCCTATTCTTTAATCAAGTTACTGTAGCCGCTGATAATTCCTAACCAGAAGGCTTGGTGTTCCTCCTTTGAGTCCTGTGTCATTTCTACCAAATATCTTTTTTCACTAAAGCCTTATGACCCAGATTATTAACAAAGGTACTATTTAGGTAACATCAGTAACTAGCAAGAGGTTAACTTCTTAGATAAATGTTCTATTAGGTAACATCAGTAACTAGCAAGAGGTTAACTTCTTAGATAAATGTTCTGTCCCACTTTCATTCCAGAAAACTGGGTGACTCCCAGTCATACCAAACAGTATTTAGGAAAGAATCTCTAGTTTTCTCATCATGGTCTAGTCCCAGCTTTTCATTTCAGCCTATATCATTCTGAGAAAAGCTAACTTCTCTCAAATTCCCTCAGTTTAACTCACTATTCTCTCAAACTTTTCCCAAAGCAGAGAGAGATTAAATTTTTGGCTTTCAAAAGTGTTCTCTGATGTGARGAAGAGACCAAATTGTAACATATCAAGAGTACTTAAGTAGTTCAATCTAGACATAGGAGAATCTAAAAAAGTATCACATAGACTTGTTAACACAATTCAAAGCAAGAGTTGCTAAAGGAAAAGCTCAATGATGACTATCAATGAATAATATGTTAATATTTTTATTTGAAGCATAACTAACATTCATACAGAAAGTACACAAATCATAAGTATATGACTCCATGAATTTTGACAAAAAGAACACATTYTTATAACCAATTTTCAGGCTAAGTACATTACCAGGACCCCAGAGGTCCTCCTGCAACACCTTTAAATCCTATACCCTTAGCCCAACTATCTAGACTTTTTAAAAATTATTTATTCTAATTTGTTATACATGATGGCAGAATGCATTTCATTTCCTATTGCATATATAAAGCACAATTTTTCAAGTCACTGATTGTATGCAAATATTTTCACACCATTCATGTCTTCATACATGTACTTAATGATGTCTAACTCATTCCACTGTCATTCCTTTACCCTTGTTCCCTCCTTTGCCCTCCTTTCCCTTTGCCCTATCTAAAGTTCCTCCATTTCTCCCTTGCTCCACGCCCCCATTGCCATTATGATTCAGCATCCTCATATCAAAGAAAACATTTGGCCTTTGGTTTTTTGAGATTGGCTTACTTCACTTAGCATTATATTCTCTAACTCCATCCATTTACCTGCAAATGCCATGATTTTATTTCCTTTTATTGCTGAGTAACATTCCATTGTGTATATACGGCACATTTTTAATCCATTCATCTACTGAAGGGCATCTAGGTTGGCTCCACAGTTTAGCTATTGGTGCTGCTGTAAACATTGATGTGGCTGTGTCCCTGTAGAATACTGTTTTCAAGTCCTTTGGGTATAGATTGAGGAGAGGGATAGCTGGGTCAAATGGTGGTTCCATTCCCAGTTTTCCAAGGAATCTCCATATTGCTTTCCAGATTGGCTCCACCAATTTGCAGTCCCACCAGCAATGTATAAGTGTGCCTTTTTCCCCACATCCTCGCCAACACTGATTGTTGTTTATATTCTTAATAGCTGCCATTCTGACTGGTGAGATGAAATCTTAGAGTAGTTTTGATTTCCATTTCTCTAATTGCTAGAGATGTTGAACATTTTTTCATATATTTGTTGATTGATTGTATATCATCTTCTGAGAAGCCTGTTCAGTTCCTCGGCCCATTTATTGATTGAGTTATTTGTTGGGTTTTTTTTTTTTTTTTGGTGGTAAGGTTTTTGATGCTCTATATATCCTAGAGATTAGTGCTCTATCTGATGTGCTTTTAGTAAAGATTTTCTCCCACTGTAGGCTCTCTGTTCACTTCATTGATGTTTCTTTTGCTGAGAAGAAGCTTTTTAGTTTGAATCTATTCCATTTATTGATTCTTGGTTTTAATTCTTGTGCTATAGGAGTCTTATTAAGAAAACTAGGACCTAATCCAACATGATGGAGATTTGGGCCTACTTTTTCTTTCATTAGGCACAAAATCTCTGGTTTAATAGGTCCTTGATCCACTTTGAGTTGAGTTTTGTGCATGGTGAAAGAGAGAGTTTTAATTTCATTTTGTTACGTGTGGATTTCCAGTTTTCCTAGCACCATTTCCAACTATCCAGACTTTTGTAACACAAAATAAAGTTTTTATAATAGTTTTATAGTAGTTTCTAACAGTTGTAATTCTTTCAGTCTTATTGGTGTGTAACAATATTCCAACATATAAATATGACAATTTTATTTATTCTACTTTTGATGGATATTTTGGGGATTTCTGACTTTAAATGCAATATATGAAATAAACTACATATATTATTATGTACATAAAATATCAAGATATAATATTTGATTGTCTACCTTTTATTATTTTGTTTCCTCTTCTAGAAGTCTTGTTTTATTCCTGGTATTCTGGTCATTTACACAGGATAAATTATATAAAACTCACACCAGTCAACCATGCTTTTATATGGCCTGGTAAGGCAAAAAAGATATTCAACTTTGACATAAACGTTTTAGTGTTTTATGATTTTAAGCAATGATGATTTCAGGTAGAAATATCTAGAGTATTGTTAGTCTTYAATTTCATATTCTCTAATATATTATGTGTTATATTATGTTAAATATAAGAGATAAATGTTTAAAGTTTATAAAAATGTCTTGTTTCTGAGTGTTCACTTTGGTACTAAATGTATTACTTCCCCTTGAGAGACCAATAGCTTGTGCCTCAGTTTTCTCATTTTAAAAGAGATGAAAATATTAGTACCTATGATATGGATTATTGTGGGGTTACATTARTTAATTCATGCTTCAAACAGTGTCTGGCAAAGATTAAAGCACAGTAATGGTTAGTGCCTTTAAAAATAAAAATGCGTATTTGTAGTAATAAACATTCTTGAATGGTGAGATATCACACCTATTAAAATACAGGTTTTATTGGTTCTTCTTGATTAGTCCTTAATTTAATTCCTATATGTTTTAAGTTTTAACATTATGTATTAAATATGGGATATAATAAATCATTTGTGTCRGAAAAGTATTATGGATGGACATCCAGTAAGATTTTCCCTTAAAGATTATAAATTTATAATTGTGTCCTTTCCAGTTAGTTATAACTGAGAATTCAGTCTGTAGTACAATACAAACTATAAAGTCAAATCTGTCCTCTTCCACTTCCATCTTTGGCCAA